CTCCCCCCGCCGGATGAGGACGTCCCCCCGCCGGAGGAGGAGCTACCCCCACCGGAGGAGAACCTCCCCCCGCCGGAGGAGAAGCTACCCCTGCCGGAGGAGAAGCTACCCCTGCCGGAGGAGAAGCTACCCCTGCCGGAGGAGAAGCTACCCCCGCCGAAGGAGAAGCTACCCCCGCCGAAGGACATCTACCGCACCCTCCTCGATCTGCTGCGCGGGAAACAGGTGGACATCTACCCGGAGAAGAACGCCGGTCCCGGCGGTGAGTTAGACACCAACGACATCGGGTACATCGACACTGAGGTGAACGGCCAGGACATGGCCAATGACTTGGAGTAGACCCGGAGGTAAGAAACATCTGCAGTAGACTTCCTCAGCAAGTTGAAACGATTGATCCATCATTTATGTGACAAAAGCAAAAAACAACAACGACCAAATTGTTGCAGAACAGATCACTCATATTTTGCCATGTTTTTCTGTTTTCCGACAGGACCCCGGAATGGCGATGGTCCCACCGCATCCTGCGTGTGCCGAGCACCATCCTGGCCTTCCAGCCGTGACTGCAGATCAGCTGCATAGATTTTAGCTGCTTTTGCATCATTTAACCATGACAAGGCTCGCGAGTGGATATCAAGGTTCAAAATAACAAATTACCATCTTCTAGAATGAGTCTATGACAAAATTTGAATGGTGTCCTTTGGATAGATATCCAAGGCACCTCCATGACAATTGCTAGGTTATTTAGGTACAGTAGGGCACAGGAAGCCAAAATAAACATTTTTGTTCTATCAAAGGGTCCAGTTCCTGAAATGATGAAAACTAACTAAATTTTTTTCTGTTGTTCTCTGATATCCTCCTTACAGCCTGTAACTTAGATAACAGGGTTCCTTCTTCAACCACCTCTAAACTTTCATGTCTTTATAGGGTAAGTCCTTGACATGATCCTAATGTTGTTATTTTCATTTAGTCTTCACAACGTCTTCAAATTCTGCCGAGTAATTTTTAAAGTTCCTACAGCTCTAGTCGTTTCAATATAGTGATCTGTTGTCTTGTTATTCCACAAGGAACCCATAGGTCAGCACTTGCTGCTCTATGTAACCAAGATTTCTGCCAATAAAAGTATAGAAAACGCATGATGGAAGACTTTGTCAGTTATTGTTTCGTCGGTCACATCACTGAGGTATTAAGAAGAGTGCATCTGTAGATCAATGATTCACTGTAAGGTTCAGAAAATTGTTCTTAGAAGTTGTAGGGAGAAAGTGCACTTTGGTTGAAGTCGCCAGGTGGTACCTGTGAATTTGCAAACAGACGTGAACTTTGAGCAAAGCAACCTAAGAATTGAAGAAGAAAAAGGAGCATTTTTCGAACCAAGGCCGTGTGGGTAAAAGCCACAACCTAATTCCGTGAACAGCCTGGTTGGTAAGCTCTAGCTTCAGTTGTCGAATTTTCATGATTACGCTCCCGAAGTTGACTCACGAAGACTGCCGAGTTTTCGCGATGAATCCCGAACACGTTTCGGGTGACTCCGTACCTGTCCAACCGGTTCTACCGACCTTCGAACTGTAAATGCCCTGTGGACGAAAACAATGGAGAGTGGTTAAAGAAGTGCCCTCGACTTGTACTACATGTAAACATAGGCTAATGCCGCTCCTCCACGGTCCATATCACATTGTCCAGTACTTCAGTGTTGGCAATAGTTCAGAATTACTACACAAATCATTATATCACATGTACGATTGTCGAGCAATAAAGTTCATTCATTCATTCATTCGAGCAATAAAGTTCATTCATTCATTCATTCATTCATTCATAGCAAGCCTGATGGCCTTTCTTAACGTTATAATATTGACCACATTGGTCCCTTTTCATGCCAGTCAATATCAAAACCATGTACAAGTCACCGTGTAGTGTGCAGTTAGCGATCTCGCTACTTTTCTTGGGTCGGACCTAGCCGCATACAATGCATTTGTCATTTCGGGATTCCGTGTATGCGGATGTCTCGGGGGTCGACAAACCGCTACACGTAAAAGAACCCAGCACACTCATGAAGAAATGCTTAAGGGGCCCGATAAATGTGCTGTTAATACTAACCGTGGCGAAACCGCTTTATCTAATAAGTACTAGCTATGGGGGGAAAGTCACCATGCCCGTCCTCAGTTGACGGCGGGTGGTTGCCCGGGTGACGCCATACTTGTCCGACTGGTTCTATTTAATCTCCAAGCAGATTCGACGCGGGCCTATCAATTCGGCCAAGCCATGACTATAAGCCCCAACTCGATACTGGATACAGCCTGGCCAAATTGATAGTGTCTTTCCCCGTCGGATCTGCTTGGAGATTAGTTCCATTGAACTTCAAACAGGAAATATCCATATGGACGAAAACAATGCGGAGAAGGATAGAGGGTATTTATGAGTGAGTGAATGAATGAATGAGAGTATTGATGAGTATATTGAGTGAATGAATGAATGAGTATTAATGATAAGAATGAGAATGCATGAGAGTGTATCAATGATTGAATGAATGAGTGAGTGAGTGAGAGAATGAGTGATAGTATTAATGATTGAATGAATGATTGATTGATTGATTGACACACTGACACAGGGCTTGGGTGGGTGTGCAAGACCAACCCTACACTGAATACTCGGGGAACCAACGATAGTCTGGCTACCGGGCTGGATAACATGGGCCTTGTCATTGCTTTTGAACGTGAGCAACTGAACTGAACGTGGAACCACTGGCACCGTGCATCTGTAGGTCAATGATGTATCGTAAGGTGCAGAAAAAAAAGTTTTGAGGAACTTGTCTTCTTCTTGGGGATAAAGTGCTATTTTGGTCAAAGTCGCCAGGTGGTACCTGCGAATTTACGAACAGACGTGAACAGGGATCGAACCAGGGCCATGTGGGTAAAAGCCACAACCTAATCCCGTGAACAGCCTGGTAATGTCTAGCTTCAGTTCTCCAATTTTCTTGATTACGCACACCTGAAGTTGACTCACGAAGACTGCCGAGTTTTCGCGATGAATCCCGAACACAGTTCGGGTGACTCCGTACCTGTCCAACCGGTTCTACC